TAAAGAGTGAGATTAAGAGAAGAGAGAGGAGGTTTTTTGTTAGGCATTGCGCAGTCAGTGAGGAAATTAGAATTGGAGATCTACAGAAGAGAGATCTGTAGAAGACCGAAAGACAAGAAACAAAACTTTGTTTTTTAAAATATTTTATTGGTGAAATATAACAGCCAGAAGATATGATGAAGTACCACCAAAAATATAACAGTGCTAATAAAATCAGAAAATACAGAATAATGATTAAATGACATTTGTATTTCCCTCTGAGATGTAAGCCTCAGTATATATAACCCATTCATTTACAGAAGGTCAATGTCCATAGCATGGTCTGTGCAGTAGATGCCTAGCAAATATGATTGGTAAAGAAAAGTACTTACCATGGGTAATGAAATATATGCATTTCATATGAAAATGTACTGAATTATTAAGGTTGCCTTGTTTGGTCATTAAGAACTTTACTTGGTCTTTGTTACTAATTTTCTCCTGTAGTTTTTATAATCCACAGCTGCACATATCAAAATTGTTTAGACTTTCTTTTCACTGTCTATTGTAAGTGCAACTATAGAAATATTGGTGTTAAGTCTAGCCCAACATCCATATTTTTTCTACTGCAGCAAGAGATGTATTTGGAAATCCCAAAAGCAGAATACAGTATATACTAGGCTGCTGTAAAAATATTGTAAAATACATATACATGCATACATGCATACATACATACAATCTTTCCCTTCTACCCCAAGCCTAGTCTTCAATGGCAGTTTAACACTTGCCCAAAAAGCAACATATAGGCAGCTTTTTTGCAGGGTCCCTTTATTTTCCAGTGACTGAGGGCCACAGATGGCAGAGTAATTACATAATTATATGGAGCCAGGATCTGAAGACCCTGTTTTTGTAGTGTTTGGAGGAAAGAGATACTACTGTATTGGAAGCTTAGTGGAAATATTTTATTTAGGTTTCCCATTGGAAATAATAGAAGATTGCACCATCATTATTCACCAGTGGATTTCAGTAGCATAATCCTCAGGGGCTCAAAGTTCACAAAAAAGGATCTTAGTAACAAACATGACATGTGACTTGATTGATGTAAGTTAGATCTATTACTATACCAGCACACAGAATAACCAATCATGTCTTTTCTCTTAGATTTAACCCATTGTCCTCATGTGACAAAGAATATATAGAAATATATGATGGTCCTTCAACCAATTCATCTGTCTTGGGGAGGATATGCCATACTGAAGAATCTATTCCAATATTTCACTCATCCTCTTCAGCTTTAACATTTCGTATATCAACAGACTCCAAAAATTTCATACGAAACATCCATGCATTTTATTACTTCATTTCACCAGAATCACGTAAGTTATCCACAAAAGACAGGGATGGGGATCTCCTTCCAGAATCACCTGGGAGTTCAGGCTCCCACTCTCATGATAGAGACTGACTCATCTAACCAAAATCTATCTTTTTTAAGGATTATTGTTTTTGTAATGTATGCAACACTGTAACTGACTAATAAGCTACTTCTCTTTAACATATACTTCTTAGGTGATATAGACTTTAAATATAAAGGATGGAACTGATGAGATGCCAAGGGGGCAAAGAATATCAATACAAGTTCTAACTATCCTAAATCTGCATGCCACAAATAATCAGCAGAATTGTCTGCTTCTGATTCACATTTTAAAAAAAATGTTGCTCAGGGTTAATATAAAAACTTAGTTGCATATAAAATCTACAAAATAGGTTGATAAAAGATAAGGAGTAGTTAACAAGAGACTTTTAAAAGCTTGCTGAACCACCCTCAGAATTTCTGACCCATATAACTAGTGATGAGAGATCTTGGAAGCTGTATCTCAACAACATCTGAAGGATCA